ATTTGATAATGATGCGATCATAATCAAAATAACTCGAGTTATTCTGTTGGTACGATCATAGTAAGGTGCCGGATAATCTATATTATCACGCGGCAATAAAAAAATTCTAAAAAAATAATAAATTAATACATAACTTATGATCATTAAGTGACATACGTACGTTATTTTACAATTTTGACAAAAATTTAAAACGTTTACGTAACAACAGAGGGGGATCTTAATGATTACTAAAAAATTCATTTAAGATGATTGGTCATAATTCAATTATTATTACCGAATGTCAATCCGAAACCGTTTTTTCTAGGCGACGACGTTAATTATCGCATATCACGTGGACAAGCCATCTTTACGGTTGTTAAAAAAATCATATGCCCATATAAAATTGTATAACCACTAGTATAACCGACTCAAAATTTTTTATACATATATGTATACTATACGCTTTTTTATTTTATGTATACTATACGTTTTCCCTTTTTATTAGTTGGCACGTCTTTCATGCCATTAGCTATGCAACACCGCAAAGGAATTGCGGTTTTTAGATTTCTGCGCCGTACGCACCTACCTTAGTGCCTAGATATAAAAAAATCTATTAATGGGTGCTGCCAAGAGAAAACCTGTCATCAGGCTTTCAATATCAGTTTGTTTACTAAGTGTCGTCTAGGGAAAATTTATCATCGGGCTTTTAATTATACAGGTGACTCCGTTAATATCAACCTCGTTAATATCAACCTAAGCCACAAGAAAAGTTTTATATATCAAAATTCCCTCATATATTGGGATCTTTGCTAGGAAAATGACCCTCCAAGGCTATGTTGATTTTGTAAATAAAAATTAAATTTGCCAACCATCTAGTTCAGTGTTGTTATGTCTACTATGTCCAAGACTTTTTTTTTTACCTATATTCACGTTCAGTATTCACAATTGTCTAAAGAATATTTAGGCTTTAAATTTTAATTAATTAATTTAAAAAAATTATTTTTTATAGTTAAGAATATTTTTATTTAAAAGTTTAATATAGGTTATCTTATTAAAATTTTGAGTAAGTTTGATTTGTTTTTTTTTTGTTCATAATTGTCCATAATTTGTCCAGAGCTGTCCCGTGATAACACTGATCTAGTTATCCAACTTGAATAAAGTTTTTTTTTTTATTTTGGAAAGCTAAATAAGCTCTATAAAATAAAATAAAATAAAAATAAAAATAAAAATAAAATAAAATAAAAATAAAAATAAAAATAAAATAAAAATAAAAATAAAAATAAAAATAAAAAAAAAGATCATCGAATTGGATGACTAGATTGCTGGCATATTTAATTTCTATTCACAAAATCAATATAGCCTTGGAGAGTCATTTTCCTAGCAAAAATCCCATATATCAACTTTAATATGATTTCTCATTAATTTCACTACCAACATGATTTAAAACCAATTTAAATAGGTTGATATTAACGAGGGTCACCTGTAGTTTGTAACAACTCGCCACAAAATATAATTGGAAGCCTGATGATAGATTTTCCCTAGAAAACACTCAGTAAACAAACTGAACATTGAAAGCCTGATAACAGGTTTTCCATTGGCAACACTTAATGGTAACTTCGTTTTATTGTTAGACCGTTGAAGCTTTTTATATTTTCATCATTATTTAATTTTTATAATTTCAAAATGAGTAACAAAAACGAATATGATTATTTTTTCAAAGGTATGGCCATGGTTTTTATAGTTAAGAAATATGAACAACCACGCGTATACGAAAATTCTATCATCAGGTTCATTATTGGGTCAATTTCTATGTACTATTTTCTTGATAACACTAAAAGCCATTAATTTAAATTATTTTTACAAATGATCAAAGTCATACAATTTTGTATTTTATCGTTTATATATATATATATACCTAATATTAGATTAATTTCTTTTTTAGTTGTATTATGTGGTGACTCGGGGGTTGGAAAATCCAATCTTCTTTCACGTTTCACTCGTAATGAGTTCAATTTGGAGTCCCGATCTACTCTCGGTGTCGAATTTAATATCAAGGGTATTAAAGTAGAAAATAAAACTATCCAAGCACAAATTTGGGATATTGGTAGTAATTGTAAAATATATAAAATATTATATAAATTAATTCGTTTATTCTTTTTGACCACTATTCTGATAATTGATTATCTCCCAAAAGCTGGTCTTGAGCGCTATAGAGCGATTAAAAACGCGTAAGTAATTTTTATCCGGTTGCGCCAACTCAACATTTTAGATATCTAAATTTTACATTTTGCGACAATTTTTACAGATATTATCGTGGAGCCGTTGGTGCTTTACTTGTTTATGATATTTCCAAATATAAAACATATAACAATATCAATTGCTGGTTGAAAGAATTAAAAGATTATGCTGACAGTAATATTGTCGTCATGCTTGTCGGAAATAAGAGTGATTTAAGACATTTTCGAGCAGTTCCTACTGAAGAAGCCATGCAATTTTCATGTATGTTTATATTAGCTTTTTTTTTTTATTTTTTTTTGTCATTGTATTAAATATTTTCGTGCCATACAAATTCTATAAGTGGAAAACAATATTTCTTTCATCGAAACTTCTGCCTTGGATGCTAGTAACGTAGAAGTTGCTTTTCAAAACTTCATAACCGGTAATTTTGCTTTGTTTTAGCTTACTAATTTATCGCTATTGTTATCTCATTACTATAACATTCCATCTTTCAGAAATATATCGTATTGTATCTAGTAATGGTGATATAGTATCTAGTAATTATAAGATGAATAACGTATATAGTAATTTTAAGATGAATAACGTATATAGTAATTATAAGATGAATAACGTATCTAGTAATGATAAGATGAGTAAAGTATCTAGTAATGGTAATGTTAAAACGGGTAACAGTAACAACAATGAATGTGATTACCTTTTTAAAGGTATATCCATAGTTTTTTTTTATGGTTAAGGAATACTAACAAATATGAGTATACGAAAATTCCCTCATCTGGTTCGTTCTTGAGTTAATCGCTGTGTACTATTTTCTTGATAACACAAAAAACCATTGCCATTATTTAAAATCATTTTATTTCTACAAATTATCAAAGTTATATAGTTATATTTTACCGAGTTTTTTTTCATAGATCTGTCATAAATGACGCTCCACCTAATATTAGATTAATTTCTTTTTTTTTTTTTAGTTGTCTTAATTGGCGACTCTGGAGTCGGTAAATCTAATCTTCTTTCACGTTTAACTTGTAATGAGTTCGATTTGGAGTCCAAACCTACTATTGGTGTTGAATTTAAGACCAAGAATATTCAAATAGATAATAAAACTATCAAAGCAAAAATTTGGGATACTGGTAGTAATCTTAAAATATTATATCAATTCGTTTATTTTTTTGACCATGATTCTGATAATTGATTATCTTCTAAAAGCTGGTCGTGATCGTTATAGAGCTATTACAAGCGCGTAAGTAATCTTTATCCGGTTGCGCCAACTCAACATTTTAAATAAATCTAAAATTTACATTTTCCAATAATTTTTACAGATATTATTGTGGAGTCGTTGGTGCTTTACTTGTTTATGATATTACCAAATATGAAACATATGAAAACGTCAACCGCTGGTTGGAAGAATTAAGAGATCATGTTGATAGTGATGTTGCCATTATGCTTATCGGAAATAAGACTGATTTAAGAAATTTGCGAGTAGTTTCTACTGAAGAAGCAAAAAAATTTGCCGGTATGTTTACATTAATGTCCATTAGCTTTTGTTTTTTTTTTTTACTGTCATTGTATTAAATATTTTCATAACATACAAATTCTATAAGATGCAAACAATTTTTCTTTCATTGAAACTTCTGCATTGGATTCTAGTAACGTAGAACTTGCTTTCCAAAACTTCTTAACCGGTAATTTTTTGCTTTGTTTCAGTTGTTAATTTATTTTATTTTTATCTTATTACTATAACATTCCATCCTTCAGAAATATACACAAGTAATATCAGTAGGAGGAAAATTATGTATCAGGTTTATACATTGGTGTCGAAATTATTTTGCTCTTGGCATGGTTAAATTATTGTTGCGCTGAAGCTTGAAACGGCTGAAGCTTGAAATTAGGGACCTCAATTTAAAAATATAAACCCTACCAAAATCCATTTATACATTTTTATTATCAAAGCTAACCCTAAATCCTAAGCTAATTATAAAAAAAAAACAAATGCTAAAATAATGTGCCCAAAAATTTTTTAAAATTTCAAGTTCAGCCGTTTCAAGCTTCAGCTGCGACAATTATTTTAGATAACCTAAATCGTAAATAATTCAGAATGTCAAATAATTAAATTTTAATGTGTCAAATATATTTTAGAATGTTTAAAATATTTTCACCATTCCAAAATGCCTTTACGACTGAAATTTAATAATTCTAAGAATTGATGATATTGAATGTGGCAACTTATTCTGAGACCCGCCTAGTATCGTCACCAAAAATCAGGTACGTAATACTTAAGTGGTAAATCGCGACTGAAGAGTATAAATTTCATAATAAAATCGGTGAAGAATTACTATTACTTTCATTTAATGTTGGAATGCCGAAAGCTTTATGAAGGAGAAAATGTCAATAACTCGCGATCTACTAAATAGTTTACCACTAATATAACAGAATAACTTGTTCTATAATATTTGTTAAAAACTTAAGCATAAAAAAAAACGATTCATTGTATGCTAATTGCATTTCAACTCTATAGAAAACTATATTACCTTTAGCCGTGATTTACCTTTTAAATTTATTTGCTGAATTAAACATTTAATAGATTTAGTGTGAGATATGATTAATAATGTACAGTTGCTGGTGAAACTAAATCAAACTGGTGACTACCTAAAATCTGATTGGCTATTAAATGCAATAGCTAATCAGATTTTAGATAGTCACCAGTTTCACCAGCATAATTTAGTTTCACCAGCAACTCAAGTTTATACAAAATCTAAAAGCAGCTTAAGTTTATTCTAGATTTGATATATACAATAATAAATCGTTAAATTTAATTAAAATTTAATATGTTGCAACTTAAAATGATTTTAAATTCGATACTGTATAAACATGTAATCGATTGAAATAACTATATTTAAAGCAAATTACGCTGTAGATATTCAAATTTTTGAAAAATGTCGTTATAATCAGATGTCGATATAACTAGAGTGACGTGTGCTTGTTAGAAGTAATATGTTTAACTGTCAAAAGAAAATTACATTTTTATTTAAATGTTGAAAAAAACTTTTTTTTAAAATTTGAGCCTTTATATTCATTTTGGACCCTTATTTTTTTTTTTGTTGATCTACAGAAATTCTGAAATCAGCATAGCGGGCTTTCATTGTGATTGGCCAATTTTGTGGATCATCCAGTGATATCGTAAAAATTTTTAGAGGTAAATTGCGGTTAAGGGTATAAAGAATAGCAAATTCAATAGTAGAAATTGTTGGAAGTTAATATACTTTTTCTATAGAGGTGGAATGTAGCTAGCTTACAATGAAAAATTTTTATGCCAAGTAAACCTTGATTTTAACAAATATTATAGAGCAAGCTATTCCGGTTTTAATAGTGGTAGAATTATTAAAATTGGTTTAGTAAAACGCGAGTTATTGTTATTTTTACCTTCATGACCATATGATTTTACATATTGCCAAAAACTTTCAGCATTCCAACATTATATGAAAGTAATAATAATTCTCCGCCGACTTTTACCATGAAATTTATATCCTTCAACTGCGATCTACCATTTAAGCTTTAAATAAAAAAATTAATATGTATAAAATAATTATATGAGAAATTAATACACGATGAAGCCTTTACTGTATCATAAAATCTCAATAACTTTAAGCCTAAAACTATAATCTTGTCGCAGACAAAATTTCGACATCCGAAATTTATTCAAGAAAAAGAATTATATCAAAGAAAAAAAACAAATAAAAACAAAATAAAAAATACTAAAGATGAATGTTAAACTTATTCTAAAACACCAATGAAAAATAACCTGTAACAACTTTAGCACTACTCTAACATTAAACGGATCTTTAATTTTAGTTAAAATCGTTATATACAGTAGTTACAGTACCATTACTCCACTTTCACTTCAACTCTTATGAAATCTATAAACTTTATGGCTTACAAATTTCATAAGAGTGCGTGAGAGTGAAAACCTGGAAACCGAACATAGTAAACCATTAAATCTGTTTCCAGGTTTTTACTCATATTATTGGCCTATATTATAGCAGGCTTCTTTATTAGTTGGGCTACGAAGAATAATTTTTCACAAAGACAGCTTAAATTGTCGAGTTTAATTGATTTATTGTATCTATAGTCTAAAATTAAACGTTCAAAAATACCTCTTATCTAATTTTCGAATTACTTCGCGAATTACTTTGATGTTTTATAAAGTAAACCGTGAATTTTTTCTAGTTTTTTTTGTCTTACCCTCCCGAAATTCGTATTCGTGGCCAGAAATTCATTCTTATGGCAGAAAAATCGATACTTTAATCAGCTAAAAATTAGCCAAATCCTGCTATGCTTATAAAATCTATATGCGCAATGTGCTTAGAGCACTTTCTTAAAAAAAGGTCACATGTTTTTGGCTAGAAATGTGCACGTAATTCACAACCTTTGGGCCAAATAGTGCATCATAATCAGTAATAAAATACCAAAATGCACATTGTACACAATTCATCGTATATTGATTGTAAATTAACATGTTATTTTAAAATTTATACCTCTTTTTTTCACGATCACAAGTGCTAATGTACTTGTAAAAACTTTATCGGTATCATTTTCCTAATTTGTTAATTATTTAAGAAACATCCATATCTATCTCCAAATTTATATACATAATGCTTTCTCCTTCAATATCCATAAGTTTTCATACATTGTGTGTTCAAGTTCTTCAGATTTTATAGCGTTTTCTTTTTTCTTGCAAATGTCGTTTAAAATTTGATCTTCATACTTCCTTTTTTTGCTTTTATTTATGCGGGTTAACGCTCAAAGCATATTTTTTATGATTATTTTGAAATGCAAAATGGGTTTCATAATTCGATAGGAAGAACAACGATACGTAAAATGCTTATGTTCCATTTTAGAAAATTACGGTAAATTCAAAGAAATAAATAGAAATGTTAAGTGATTCAGATGAATCGGATTCGAACCTAGTTTTTTTTAATAGTTCGTTCAAAGAAAAATTAACTAGAAGTTCTTGAACTAATTTCATAATCTAGCTCATAGACTTGGTTTATATACCTAGTTTATAAATCTATATAATTTATAAAAGGATTATATAATTTAGCACACCTGCGTTGTAACGCACCCACCTGATCGACCAATCAGATTGTAAGATCAGGTGTAACGTGAAATCGAAAAAAATAGCGATGTTTTGAAAAAATCGCATGTAACACATAAGTTGGCTTATGAAAAAAAATTCTTTGCAAAATTTTGGATATAATTAACATACATCAACATTTTAACCTAACCCTACATTAGTGCTGAACCCTTACCCTAAATTAATTCGTTATTGGTTTGTTTTGATTTCACGTTACACCAGATCTTATGGGGTGCGTCACAACGCACTAGGGTTGGGGGCACGGGAAAATTTTCGGGCATGCATCATGGGCATGCCTCGTGCCCCGTACCCCAACCCTACAACGCCATGCGCCAATGATAAAATTCTAAAATAAATATGTTTTCTTGACAACCTCCTAACAAAATTCAATAAATTATAATAATGTATAGAATTAAAATTAGAAAATTATCAAGAATAATTCTTTCAAAGTTTAAAAAAAGTAGCTTACTAATAGAAGGGACGTGTTTTTTTAAATTTAAGCAAAGTTTTTCAATAACTATCTAATCAAATTAGAGTTAACACTTCACTATGTTTTATATCCAGATTAATCCGGATATAAAATAAATCTGAATTTAAATTACTATGTTTTACTATAATTTTTGCAAAATCTCAATCCAGATATAAATATATCTGGATTGAAGTATTAACTCTAAACCAAATTCAATGAATTGTTTTTTATTTTAATTCTACATATTTATAAAATTAAAATAAAAATAATCATCAAATTTGTTAGCTAATTGTTGAGAAAACTTCAAAGATTTAAAAAATATTAGTTTAATTTGCTAATAAACAAAACAAATTATTTCTTTAAGCAAAGCTTTCTTAACAGCTACTTGCCCAAATTCAATGAATTTTGTAGATTAAAATTAAATAAAAAAAACTTATTGAATTTAGTCAGATTATAAAAAATTTTGATCAAGTTTTTAAAAAATTCATAAGCATTTAATTGACTGATATACAGAACAGATCTTTTTAAATGTTTCTTGATAACTATAAGACAAAATTTGGTTAAGTTTTTTTTATCTTAATTGTATGAATATGTAGAATTAAAATAAAAAGTTATATAGGCTTTTGCCAGGTAATTATTAAAAGAACTTCATTTAAAGTTTTAAAAAAAAAATGCAAAAATTGTTTATATATAGCTGGTGAATAATTTTGATTAGTTAAATATACTTAGAACAGCAATGAATATTATAATCTATTGTGCAAATAAATACACTTATATGCAGCACAAAAAAATTATTTTACAATATTGGATTATTCATTACAACTATAATCTCTCACTTGTTAGATTAAAGTTCAATGAATAAGAATTATAATCATTGTATAAATTAGTAGAATGATCCAGTATTGTAAAATAATTTTATGTTCTAGCATGTGGATAACCCATATTTGGTAATAATCATCTCAATTAAATAAAAATTTTTTAAAATTTTTTATATATTTTATCATAAAATACTTTTTATTTTTATAATTATTTAAAATCTTGTAAAAAAGCTTTCAAATATCTATATTTTTTAATATTTAAAAAGTTTTCTTAAAGACTAGTTTTATAAGAGATTGTGAGTAGTTTAATTTATATTTTGAGAAAATGAAGATATTTCAACATTAAAATAAAAAGAATAATAGCATAAAACAAAGACTTAGTACTTTATAAAAAACACCAAATAATATTAAATAACATTTATACCAAAAGCTGTGTAAAAATGTTTAATTAACTGCATTTTATACTGTTTAAAATATATGAAATTATTATAGCAAGTTATTATTTTATTTACTAAATTACAATTTAAAAGAATCTATATTATTAGTTAAATGAAATAAATATAATAAATTTGTAAAAAATCAAAATTTTTAATAAAATAAATATAAGCAAAATTGGAAAAACATCAGGATCAATAATGTTAATTAAAAAATAAACTTCTGTCTAATTTTAGTTAAATTTGCAGATCATTTAACTAGATCTAAAACTAAACAACTTTAAATACTGTCAAATAATTTGCAAGTTTGATTAGAATTATAAACAATGATTTTATTAATTATATAATACTATTACTATGTTTTGTTTTCTTTTAACTTATTTGAATATTTGATTAAATAATTAGTTAAATAATTTATCAGCTATGACTAATTATTTTACCATATAACTAATTAGTCAGCTAGTTATAAGCAATTAACTAGTAATAATTAACTAATAACTAACTATATCTGACCAAACCTATTCTTAATTGTAACCAGAACTTATATTTTCAAATATAAAAATCAAAAACAAAGGTAATAATAGACTTAAACAATATTTATCTATATCAAAAAGTGTGAAGTTAATAAATTTACTTCACACAATTGAAGGACACTTATAGATTAAAAAACTTAGATATAATATATCTATAGTCAGACCTCTCTAAGTGCATCCTTTATAAGTGCACACCCTCTCTAAATACACTATTAAATTCTTATTCAAATATATTTTTAAACACTATAAACACACTTTTTTTATTATTCTCTAAGTGTATGTTGCTAAAGTGTAATCTTAAGGGTGTGTACTTAGAGAGGTTTAACTGTAGTAGCTAATCTACAAAACTTTTTTTAGCATATAACTATATATATCATATTTGTATTAATTTGTATTTCTGAGTTTTATTTCAATTAAATATAATTGACTAAATTTTTTGATTTTATTATATTGCTTTTTTGCTAACTTTTATATTATTTTTTTAATACTTCTTTTATTATTTTTTTGATCTTTTATTGCTTTTTATATTGTTCTTTTAGTAATTTTTATGAATTTTTTAGTAATTTTTATATCATTCTTTCAGTGCTTTTTATATTGTTTTGGTACTCTTTATATTGTTGTTTTAGTATGTTTTATATTATTTTATTTAATATTTTTTTTAATTTTTCTCTTAATACAATTTATATTATTTTTTAAATGCTTTTTATATTGTTCTTTTAGTATTGTTTTGAAGTTTATTTTGTATCCTTCTTTTATTCTTTGGTGCTTTTTCAAAATTTCTTTTAGTGCTTTTTTTAATATTTTTTTGCACTTCTTTTATCACTTTGGATATTCTATAGAATAGGTGAGTAATATAAAAAATAAGCTTTACTAATGATTAGTTATTATTAATTTTTAGTAGTAGAGTTGCAGAGTTTGCAAAGTTAGTTTACCTTTTCTATAGAACATCTATCACTTTTTTAGTGCTTTATTTCTTTTTTTGATGCTTTTTAATTCTTTTTTTGATGCTTTATTTATTTTTTTAGCACCTTTTTTATCACTTTGTTAATGCTTTTTTTGTTACTTTTTTAATACTTCTTTAATCACTTTTTTAGTATTTTTTAACTTTTTGATGCTTTTTTCATTACTTTAATAGTGTTATTTTCATCACTTTTTAGTATTTTTTCATAACATTTTATCATTTTTTCTATAATTTTCTGTATATAAACATCTATACAAATATTTGTATTAATATTTATATTAATATTAATATTATTATTATTATTATTATTATTATTTTAACCTATGCAATGTCATATGAAAGCAGATTTTTATTAGGTTTTTAGATAGTATATTCTTGGTTAACAAAAGTATATATAGCAACATATGCAACTTTTAGTTGCCTATTTAAGTAGTCCACCCGAAGGTTCTATACTATCTGCTGTACCTGTAACCCAACTAGAAGATTACCTATTTAAACCCTCTGATGTCCCCTATTCTATACTACCTACCATCAGAGTTGCATATTTGTCCATTGGTATAAATGGACCCCAGGTCTATTGAGCAGTTCTATTAGTTTTATTGGATGGTCACTATTTCAATGGACTAATAGACAAGTAGGTAAAATAATTATATAAAAGTCACTAAAAGAAAATCTGACAATTTAAATATAAGTCATATTTAAATTGTCAGGTTTTCTTTTAGCGACACTCATATAGCTTTTATAAATATTATTTGTGATTTTTTTGGTATTAACCTTATTATGATTTATGCTAATGGACTAATAGACTAATGGACCAATGGATTATGATATTGGTTCATTGACAAATTTATTTTCAATAGACATAGTTCATTGCCAACTCTGCTCACCACAATTACACCAGCATATAACCTTGTGCTGCTTCTTATTGAAGACTATCTAAATCAACATCTGCAATACTACTTGTGCCCTAATTCTATAGATAACCCAGTAGGATTCCCATACTATTGGGTTGTCCAAGAGAGGGTGTAGTATATACCCCCTAATATTTTTATGTCCTACACATTTTCTGATTAGACTATGAATACCTTCTGCAGTAGCCGAAACCACTACTAGCAGTTAGGCCTAACTATTAAACTGCACAATTCTGATTTTCAATGACCTTGCAAGGTTTGTTCTAGTCCTAATACCTACATTAAACCAGTGTTAATACTGATCTTTCTCTAACTATTAAACTAGTTAACCCAGTTGAATCATTATACCTAGACTTTAGGTGACTTTTAGTTTTATTTTCCTTGGTTCCTAATTTTATAGCATAAGAACTTTACTCTGGTGCAACTCTGGTAGCCAAGTTGGTGAACCCTTCTTATTCTAGTGTTTTTGTCTTGGTCTTTGGTCTCTGGTTTCTGACTTTTCTGCAGTATCGTCAAAGATCTTTACTATCTTCTTACTCAGGTCTTGCCAACTAGGTTTTAATTCTCCTAGTTTCTTGGATTTGGATCACCCAAGAGCTTCCATTTTGAGATGGTAGTATCAAGATTACAGATGATATATCCAACCAATTGTTAAATAATTGTTACTAGTACACAGGCCTATTTTTCTAAAAACCTCTCTGGTAGGATTTAAACTTTAAACCTGCCAATTAGAAGATAACAACTTAACCACTACTCTAAGTTGCCACATCCTAATATTAGTATTATTATTAATATCAATATTGTATTAACATTAGTACTAATATTGGTATTAATATTAGTATTAATATTGATATTAACATTAGTATTAATATTAGTATCAATATTAATACTAATACTAATATTAATATTAATACTAACATTAATATTATGTTAATACTAATATTAGTACAGTCAACTCCTCTAAGTCACCTTCTCTACAGTTACAAAATTAATATACTGTATTACACTGACTAAAAACCTAGGGCCTAAAACAAATTATCTAACTAAAAACTTAAAAATATCTGAATATATTATATGACAGAGAATCTTTATTGCAAACTAAAAAACTTTATGTATATTCATTTCTTAATTATAGTATATAACCTGAGATTTTATAAAGCTGATCACAATTAATAGAATTTCTGTGATTTTTATATAGGTATTTTACACAAGTAATATAATAAAATGGAGATCTTTGCCTCATCTTAATATGAAAAAAAAATAAATAAAATGGAGATCTTTTAATCAGTGTAGTATGGTAATTACAGATTTATTTTTATCAATTATTTATAATTATATAGAAAAAATCTTTATATCAATTACACCTCTTTATAATCACAGTTTTTTGTATTCCAAAAGTGTGACTATAGAATATATGCATAATGGTTTAATTTTGTTGTTAAATTATTATTAAAAACTAATTGCATTATAATTATAGTAAATTTTAATATTTTTTTACTACTATATTACTAATAATATCATTTTGATATTAATAAAGCATATAAAATTAATGAATTCAATGCTTCTACATTAAATATATGTTAGATTATACTTCCTGATAAATTGTTTTTTTATTGGACTTATTAGTACGAACGTTAGTACTAATGAAAATGTTAACGTTAGTACAAACGTTAGTACGAATTATAATATAAACGTTAGTTAGTACAAACGTTAGTACAAATGTTAGTTCGAACGTTAGTATGAACGTTAATATAAACGTTAGTACGAACGTTAGTACGAATGTTAGTACAAACGTTAGTATTAAAATTAGTTTGAACCTAACTTCTACAGGCGTTATCAAAGTGGCTTAGTCACGTGTCACGTGCCGAAAATTTTTTGTGGGTGATCTACAGGGTTCAAGGAATTTTAAGGTTAGACCCGGGGTTTACAAATTTAGCATGGACACCGTGCATAAATAATTTTTTAATACATACGATAAATGTGTAAACCCCGGGTCTATTCTAAGGGTGTCCTCCCAGTAATTATCACATTACATGAAATTATACAATGATGGCATTTGTTTACTTGTATTAACAAATTGGCCTAAACTATACCATCACCTAACCCTAACTTTGGCCGAGTGATTAATCATGTGATGTGATGAACACGAATATATAACTGGTTACCTTGATCTACAAAATTTCCCAAATCCGCTGGGTTTGAAGAGCAATATGCATATATGCACACCTGCACAATTTAGCTCTGATGGTTAACGAGTGATAAATACATAATATAAAAGCTTGTAGAGGGTATTAGTGAAGGACTTCAAGACATCTCGTTATCCCCCCTCTTTAGTAAGATCTCCTAAATACATGTTTTCGGATTAACACTTATGCATTTCGTACTAGTAGATCTTGAACGAATGCTCTTTCATACTAAATAAATTGCAACATATGACTATCACCTACATCATAACATCTGTATTCGCAGAATTTTAACACGTAAGTTATAAGAATAAAAATCTCCCTATAATAGGGGGAATTCTTCGTCGTATAAAAGTACGTGGATTATTTTTTTGTTTTTTGATAATCGTATCTCATCAAACTTGAAAAAAAAAACTGAAATGGCATTTTTCATAGCTCTTTGTCTAATTATCATCTTGGGTTATTTAATTTATTTAAATGGCAAACGACCTCAGTTAGATGTGGTAAATCAATATTATTAATTTAATGCCTATTAAAACCCTCGATTTGCTGCATAATAAGATATTTATCAATGCATTAATTTGATTATGGTCCATCTATATATAGAATGAACCACCCATGGTTCCATATACTTTACCTATTATTGGACATACGATTAGTTATATTCTTAATGCTGATAAATTTCTTAGCGAATGTAGAAAAAAAGTAAATATATTGATTGCAAACATTTTTATATCCTTTTTTTTTTGTTAATGTTGTTTGTCGGTATTAACATTTTTTACAAAATTTTTTTTTATTCCACAAAGTATGGTGATCCATTCAATATATATATCTTTGGATCTGTAATAACTTATGTAGGAAATAAAACTTCGAGTGAAGTTTTTAATGAACAAGATACTTTTGACCATGAGCAAGTTCTAGTGGAGGTACGTTTAGAACAGGATATAATATTTTGTATAATACCTAATAATTCTAATTTAAATTTTTTTTATCATAATAGACACTTATATTTCCTTTGGCCTTTAGAAAAGTCAAAGGCTTTGGTAATTTGAGATTTCTTGCTAATGCGGTTCACGAACAATTAAGTGGAAAGATAAAACTACACGTACCTAGAATGCAGAGAGAAATTAAAAAGGGAATAGAATTATATGTTGGCGATTGTAAAGGTAATTTGTATTCATTATTTAGCATTGTAGCTAATGCTGTAAGTTAAGATTTATAAATATAATTATTAATATAATTATTAAACGAATTCTAGAATCAAAAGTTATCAAAGGTTTTGGAGATACAATGTTATTTATAATTGTACGACCTATATTCAATATAATATTTGGAGAAGTAAGTTTAACTGTTTGGTGAAACTAAAATCTGATTGGCTATTGCATTTAATAGCCAATCAGATTTTAGAAAGTCACAATTCTAATACACATTGATCAGGGCATTTGAATTACTAATAATAATATTCTTACCATAACAATTATGAATATGTAAAGGAGGCAAGCCAACATGAAGAATTGATTACAGCAATTACGATATATTTAAAACAACTTGGAATGCTACCTTTAATACCACCAGTCTTATCACTTATTAATCCCTCATTTCATATAAAGGCTATTTAGTACTATATTCAACCAATTTTTATTTAATCTGAATTTTATTGGTTTATTTGCTTAATTATTAAAACTTTGTTATTAAATTCTATAATCTATAAGTTGGTTATTAAGAATTGGGTGGGACCCAATTACTAAACCAAAAAAACTTTTTACAAAGTTAATGAAACCCATCGTTAAAAACCGCGTTGTTCAAATGAAAAAGCTTGGTACCGATTATATTAAAAAAGTATGTAATTTTTTTTTGAAAAAATTAATATTTCTTTTTAAAAAATATATATATCTAAAACGAAAATTTTCCAAATATTAGGAAGATTTGTTGGAATATTATTTAAGTAATCCGAATTATACACCTACTAAGGTGGATGATGAATATATGGAATTTTTATTTGAACAATTGTCTGTCCCACTTTTTTCTGCATTTTTTACGACTGTTAAAGTTTCTGCGGAGGCGCATTATGGTAATAATAAATGTAAATTTTAATAATGATATGCAAATAACTTAATTTTTATTCT